TGAGAAAATGACCCAAAACTTCCAAGTTACATTAAGAGTCTCCTTTAACAGAATATATATTATATATATAGATCAAATATTATGCAACTTGACACACAGTTCCTAGGTGACTCTGGTCTCTAAAATCCATTCACTTGACTCACGAACATCAATAATATTTTTCTTTTCCTGTTCCAGGCTTCAAAAGATGATGGGATATGCTTTGGATGCTTCTCTCTGTCTCTGACTACACTACATGCACTGGGCCTAGGAGGCAGATCAAGACAACACCTTTAGCTTGGCCCAAACTGAACTCCTCCCCTCTCCCTCTGCCAACCCTGGGCACATTTTTCTGGTTGTATTTCCTGCAATCTCATCCATATCCTGCCTTTCCAGAAGTTATGCCCACAATGTAGCTGTCACTTGCCTGGTATAGCCATTTGCACAAACAAATCTAACATCACCATAGGGAAAGGAACTTAATGACTTTAATAGATGTTCTTCATGATTTGTTCACTCTTTCTGCCTCAAGAAAAGACTTGGTCTTTTTGTCTGTGAGGTCGGGGATGGGGGTGGGGAATACAAGGTTCCTGGGTCTTGAACTCAGGGCCAGGGTGCTATTCCTGAGCTTTTTTTGCTCAAGGCTGATACTCTAACACTTTAGCCACAGCTCCACTTCTGGCATTTTTTTCTGGTTCATTGTAGATAAGAGTTTCACAGACTTTTCTACTTGGGCTGGCTTTGAACCACGATCCTAAAAATCTCAGCCTCCTGAGTTGCTAGGAACACAGGTGTGAGCCACTAGCTCTGGGTGCATTGCTCATTTTTTTCTGCTTTTTAAATTGCTCTCCTGAATTACAAATTTAATCTCTCACAGACTTCTTGTTTTTCCAAATGGTTTTCAACAACTCTGTGTCCACACTCACAAGTCTGTGAGCTGATGCATTTGAATAAGACAGTGTAAAAAGTCATAGCGCCTAGGAATGAGTGATTCTTCTATTTAGAGCAGGCAAGTGACTGGTCTACTTAGAAGAGATTCTTAACCTGGAAAGCCTCTCATGCAGGATTAGCTTTCAACATAATTGAATCAGGAAATCCTTCTTGACCTCTTGGCAGCATTTAAACACAAAGCCTTTTGAAACTCACTCTTCCTTTGGCTTCTAGAAATCCCGGCTAACCTGTTAACTTCTCAAGTTTACTTTGACAGCTCTTCTTCCTCATTTACATTCCCCCAAAGTGAAAATGGAGACGTTCCCCAGGCTTCTCTAAACTCTGCCCCTAACCTTGCATCTGTTCTCATTTTTGGCTTCAGACCTGTCTGATAAAACTTCCCACAGCTTTAAACTTAAACTGTCTGGTAAGTAAACCATAAAATGTGGCTAGTCTGTACTAATAGGTACTGCAAAATAGACATTATATCTTGAAACAGTGTAAAACCACAGTAAAATTTTTTTATAATAATGATATGTTGAACTAATAGTATTCAGATAAACTGAATAAATTCATAAACAGATTTCATCTATTGCTTTTGTATCATTTTTCAAAAAATATGACTACTACTTTCACATTTTGTTAAGTGGCTGTGTGACATTGCTACAATATTCTTGTATGCCAAAAATTCAAACCCACCATCCATGCTAAACACATTGGAACCCAAACTCCATTCATTGTCAGCTCCACACACTGTTGCTTCATATTACTACAGAATAAACCTCAGTTGGCACAAAGCAGATACATGGCACTGTGCCAGTCACTGCAGTAAAGGAACTTGTGGAACAAAGAAGATAAACCTAGAATGAATTCCAGACCAACAGGGTGACAGGGCAACTCTGGTAACAATGGGAGAGCCTGTCAACATTCGTTCACTGGCAGTTGGGACAGGAATGGTTACAAGACTGGGAAGTAACACGTCAAGTATTTGACTCAAGCAGAGCAGTAGCAACTCAGAGCACCATAGCCAAGAATGTGCCAAAAGAGTCGATGAAGTCAACTGGGTGGATGCATAGGAATCAGAGGTGCTAGCAGTTGCACATTTGTGGTGTGACATGCTCTCTGCAGGTAACTAAACCACACATTCTTGTGTACAAGAATGTTCTTCATGAGCCTTAAGTCTGGAGTCACTTCTTCTCCATTCTCTATATTCCTCTTTGTAAGCAACTATTTTTTTTTATCTTACTAACACCCAGTCTACTACCCCTACATTGCTTTTCTTCTTTTAGACTATCAGAGAAGGGAGAAAATATGCTTCTCCGATGGCCCATGAGATATGGGATCCTCGGTGGGAAGGGAAATAAGAAGGACAAGCTCACCTCCATGTTACACCCACGGTACTGAAAATACACCATGGTGTAAGACCTGTCTTTTTTGTTTTGTTTTAGTTCCAAGACTGGGACTCGAACTCAGTACCTGATGCTTTTGCTCATTGGCTAGCGCTCTACCAAATGAGTCATGCCCCTAACCATAAGGTTTGTTTTAGATGGACAATTGTTAAATTGTTCTCCAGTAGAAATAACAGTTTGGAGTGTAAGTAGATAGGACAGAAAAGATTCTCAGAGACCTAAATATGAGCTGCAGTTCTCCTTGTAGCTTTTTTTTTTTTTGCCAGTTATGGAGCTTGAACTCAGGGCCTGGGCACTGTCCCTCAGCTCTGCAGCTCCAGGCTAGCACTCTACCATTTGAGCCAAAGTGCCACTTCTGGCTTTTTCTGCTTATGTGGTACTAAGGAATAGAACCCAAGGCCTCAGACATGCAAGGCAAGCACTCTACATTGAGCCACCTTCCCAGCCCCCTTGCAATTTATTTTTGATGACCAATTGGAGATAAAGAGTCTCATGGACTTTCCTGCCCCTACTGTTATCCTCAGTAGCTAAGATTATGGGTGTGAGCCACCAGTACCTGGGTTCCTCATCTTCTTCATTCTTATTGCCTTGCTGTTCTAACACATCCTGGCTGTGAGAGTGAGTGAACTGTTTCACACTTCAACAGTAGGATACAATTCAAGCATGATTGAATTATCTATTGATTAGCATGAGAAGAAATCACAGATTTGCATCAAGAGCTGGCACATGTCAACGGAAAAATAATATGAGAACCTTATGAAATTCAAAACCTCTTCAGCCGTCTAGAAATACTCTTTGTAAATTGACTGGCAATTGTCTAAGTCTGTGTTACATGTCAGACGTTTTACTAGGCTACTTCACTTTTATGGTTTTTTCTAAGGTTTTTATCGTTATTATAAAGGTGGTTACAGAAAGGTTAGTTCCATAAGTCAGGTAAAGTGTACATTTTGTTTTGGACAATGTCACTCTTCCTTCACTCTGGTATAGTGTTTTAAGAGGCTGTATATTTCTGACATCTTAGTCTGCTCAAGCTTTGTTCAACAGCAGAATGGATTCTTTTAAATTAGACATCCTTCTATTTTTCAAGTGTGAACATGCTCATATAGAAGTGACAGCATTTTTTATCATTCATCAGCAATTTGAAGTTGGCATTTCCATATGTTTTTATAATTTAGTTTTTAACATTGTTGCTTAAAAATTTTTGCTTAAAGAGCACAAAAACCTGATTTATGTGCCATAAAAAACAGATTTATAGTGGAAAGATTGACATTTCCAAATGTAAATTGGGTTTAATTTCAGAAAATCAACATCAAATCTTTCAACTAAGTCTGAAGGATAGATTAAAATAATTGCCTAAGAGATTACCAGTTGACATTTTAAAAGCATTATTCCCCCTTAGATGTTTTATATTTGGTGTATCTAGATTAGAGCAGAAATGATTAACTAGAGATTTTGACTCTTGTCTGCAAAGGTTGACTTTTGATATACATTTCAAATATGTAAATACATCTGGTTATCATAAACTCCAAATTAAGATAATAAATGATAAAATTATATCATACACAGAAACAGCAATGAAAAGAAAGCTAAGGGTTGGGCACTGGTGACTCATGCTTATAAACCTAGATACTCGGGAGGCTGAGATCTGAGTGTTGCAGTTTAAAGCCAGCCCAGGCAGTAAAATCTGTGAGACTCTTATCTCCAATAAACCAGCAAAAGGCCAGAAGTGGATCAGTGACTCAAGTAGTAGGGCACGAGCCTCGAACACAGAAGCTCAGGGGCAGCACCCAGGCCCTGAGTTCAAGCCCCACATCGATGAAAAAAAGAAAGAAAAAAAGGAAAGAAAAGGAAGAAAGAAAAGAAAATAGGAAAGGAAAGAAAGAAAAGAAAAAGAAAAAAAGAAAAGAAACAAAACTAAGGGTTCAGAGATTTAACTCACTGGAAGTGCAAAGCTCTGAGTTCAGTCCTCAACTCTTCAAAAATAAATAAATAAATAAAAAGAGAGAAAAGAAAGGAAGAAAGAAAAAAGGAAAGAAGAGCAAAAGAACTAATATTTTAATCCTAGTTTCTAAGACATGTAAGTCATTTGCTGTATTTTTATATTTATTGTCATTAAAATATTCTAGGTGGTTTCGAAGGGTAGATACACTTAGAACTATGTGTGCTAACTATGTATTAGTTAAAAGCAAATAAAATCTGATGTCCATGTTTAAAACAGAACAAAACACAATACCTATCTTTGAATTGACTCTTTGATAAGATGGCTAAGATCATCACTCTTCCAGCCTAGAACTTTCTCGTCATTATTATTAACATTATTATTATTATTATTATTATTATTGCTGTTCATTTGGTACCTATGGATGTGTCTATCACTTATTAATTACATAAATTTTATATCAAATGGACATGAATAGTAATTGCCCATATCCTTTACAGGTTATTTAACCTAATTCAAATTATGGGATGACTACCCATGTACAAAGTCCACTTGCATGTTTTGATTTGAGCAAATTCTGTCACCATAGATTGCTTCATACAAACACATGGCTCGCACCCAGCCAGGAAGTACTTTTGTGCATCCAAGCATCTCTTTTAGGAAATTTCAGAACCTTAAGTTTCTTTACAGGCTCTATCTTTGGTCACTCAGACTAAGCCCCCAAAGCATTCAATCAACTGTACCTTCACTGCGCCGTTCTCATGCATGGTGATGCAGTTATCGGCGTCTTCTGATAGCTGGTACAAGGCCTGCGCCGTCGCTCGATGCACGTTGGTGTCACTGGATTTCAGGTAACGCACTAATGGAGCCACTGCTTTGTGTTCACCAAAGGCCACTCTGTTTTTTCCCCATGTGCAGCAACGGGAAATTGCCTCTGCCAGGTGACGCCTCAATTTATCATTATTCTGCACAAAGGAAAATGAGTTGAGGACCATGGAATGCAGTGATCCTCTAAGACCATGTTTATCCACTGTATATTTATTACTCATTAAGATACCAGTGGGCTCCAAGCTCACTAGTTTGTTAGGTGCTATTTTAAAGTTACTAAGGTTTGGGTGAGTCACCAATGGACAGATTCCATTCTGGGTTTTCTTCCTATTATCTGAATATTGCCAGGGTTTTTGAGGGTGAGTTAGGAGCCTGATATTGATCACTGGCAAAGCTTGATCTCCTTTGAGTAAAGGTAGTTACAACTAAAATTACAAATCAGTGAGATGCTCGGTAATCAAAAGATTTACAGAATATTGGATCATCTACAAAGACTAAAGTGGGAAATGTGGGCTAACTCTACTTGTTTCATTGTCCTGGATCTTGGTACAGTAATCATCTGGGTTTCCAAGAGGGAAATGACTTGCACTAGGTCTCCACTTTTTTCTTACATTCTTTAAGCATACCAGATCCTATCTCACATAGGTATACAAGAAGAGGAAATGGAATTGTGAGGGTTTTTAACTGTTCTCTCTCCTTCCTCTCTCTCTCTCTCTCCCACCCCGCCCTGTATCTCTGTGTTTGTCTGTCAGCCAATACTGGGGCTTGAACTCAGGGTCTGGTGTTATTCCTCAGCTATTTTTTTTTTTTTGGTCAGTGGTGGGGCTTGAACTCTGGGCCTGGGTGCTGTCTCTGTGCTCCTCAGCTCAAGGTTGAGCCACAGCGCCACTTCCTATTCCTCAGCTTTTATACTCACTCTGCCTCTTAAGCCACACTTCCACTTCTGATATTTTGGTGGTTAATTGAAAATAAGAATCTCTCTGGTTTCCTGCCCTAGCTAGCTTCAAACTGTGATCTTCAGATCTCCTGAGTGGCTAGGATTACAGGCCTGAGTCTGTACTGTTCTTTTGATTCAATAACTCGGTGTCCTTAGTTGAATCTGCATGATCCTATTAGCAACTCAAAGCTTCCTTGACCAATTGTTCTTCCAATGTTTGAATTTCTGCTGTATGACACGTTAGCCAAATAGTAGTCCAAGCTATGCCCCAATGCCTCTGGTAATAATGAAGTCATTGTTTCTCAAGGTTGCCTATTCAATCTGGCACAGCTCTAGATAAACAGTACAGTAATTTCCAAAGCCCTCTAACTCAAGAATGCCACCAACTTAAGCTTGCTAAGCTGGGAGAGTTGCAAATCAACTTTTCACAATAGCCTAAACAGCTGGCTTCAAAACAATGATAGTGGTGGTGAAGATGGTATTTAATGCATAATCCTGCTTACATTTGCTCTTTTTTTGTACACCATTAACAAATAATAAATAGCCTCTACTTTACAAGTTTCTATATTCACATTTTGTGTTTGTTTTCTTGTTCTACTTCATCTGACACCATGCACTCAGAATAATCAGGAGTGTTGCTCACCGTATTTGCCAGCTTGGACAATAAAGGTACAACTCCATGATCCGTAATAACAGCTAAGTTTTCTTGATCTTTTGCTATGTTGGTAATAGCAGCACATACACTTGCCAAAACTTCTTTGTTATCCGATTTCAGTAAATTGACAACAAGTTCCAGACCACCAACAAAAGAGCGGACCATTTCTCCAGCATCCTAGATAAAAACAGAAAATAGTGGTATCACAGTAACCTATTGAAAGCTACTTTTATAAAATTTTGGCAGAAAGTAAGAAGCCTCTGAGACATACCTTTGGAATGAAAGACAAATTCAACTGTAAATTTATATTATTTCTATGTAAATATGATAACAAATGTGTCTATAGAATATGAATATATTTGCACGTGCATATAATCTGTATGTGCAATGTGTATTATATTACACATGCAATATATACATTCAGTGTGTTATGTATGCATTACATGTATCTTATATTACATGTGGTATTTCATGTGCATTGTATGTGTTATATATCTATGATGTGTGTATAGTATGTATGTATGTAATATGAGTATATACACACACATATACTCAGCACATATCTACAAATTTCAGTTTCAGTATTACATGGGAGTCATTATTGGAGTTACTGAAGATATTCAAGTTAATAAAATATAGTTAGTTCTTGGTATTTTCTATCATTTTGTTCTACACAGTCATTATAGACACTGAACTAGCCAATACTGAGCCACTGCTTGGGGTAAATAGGAAGTTGGTGCTTTTTAAGTCTATTGCACAATATCTGATCATATATCACAATGCTTTATGTGTTTATGTTTAAAGCCACTTTATTTCATGTACATTCTTAATTTATTAACATTTAACTCATGACCTACAGTGTTATGGCTCAGGCAATGAAGCTTATATAACCCACATGTTTGCTCTGTAAAGTACATCAAAGAATTCTTGCACTTAAGAACTTTAGACAGTGTTTCAGCACTATGCCAGGGGCCACATTGTGTGTGTGTGTGTGTGTGTGTGTGTGTGTGGTGTGTGGTGTGTGTATGTGTGCTATTGAGGATTGGACCTCAGGGCCTTACACACACACTAGGCAAGTGATTTACCATTTGAGCTGCACAGAACTATTCTCTTTAGTAAGTCTTTCCTGAACCTTGAGTCTGGGCTTAGTAGATTGATTCTTCTATAGTACTTGCCAGCACTTACCAATGTAGTGATGGCTTGTTTGTTCTTGACCTTGAACTATATGTTCTGGGAGGACACGGGCTCTTTATGTCTTGTCCACTGTTGTATGCCTAATGACTGTGTCAGGTTATAGCATGCTCAACTAATATTCATGGAATTGAACTGTAAACTCACAGCTACAACAGGAATCTTTAGCTGCAGGCATACAGACCAAACTAAGTTCCTAATAAATAGCCAAGGTAGGACTTGAGCCAAATGAAAACCAAGTGCCTGAGCAGGCAAGCTTTTCCCTCCATGGCCTCTCTGATTGCTGTGGGAGTGGATTTGAACAATATGAGAGGCCTAGTTCTTAATGCCAATTTTGTACAAGTTCTGATACAAAGTACTTATAATTGTTTTGAAAATATTGCTCTATTTTTCTAAATTTCTACAGGAAAGCTTTTATGTAGTATAAGTAAATTATATTATATAAAAATAAATAAACATAGCTCACCTACTTTGGTTGCCTTTATAATCCTTCTTTGCATTAGTAACCTTAGAGTACAAATATGAATTTATTAACTTTCAAATAGTCAACATAATTTATCCAAATTACTCTTGAGGTAGTAGTGGCATCGTGGTAGTACTATTTTCATGTAAGAGAGGAGGAAAACCTCAGAGTAATTAATATGAAGAAAAGTACGATGAATGGGAATACTGACATATGCCTGTAATCCCATCCACTTGGGAAGCAAACACAGGAGGATCATGGTCCAAGGCCAGACTAACCAAAAAGTATGAGAGACTATCTGAAAAAGTACTAAAAGCAAAAGGACTGTGGGGTTCGGTAGTGTATAAAGGCCCCAAGTTCAAGCCCTAGCACTGAAAAAAGTAGCAGGGTGAGAAGTGGCAAAAGTAGGATTTGAATCCAGACCTGTTAGATACCAAAGTACTCTACCGTATTGATACCAGTGGGAGAGGGAAGGTGAACAAAAGAAGGTGACAATAGAACAATAAAACCTGTTGACATTGTTTTATAAAGGGGAAAGAGAAATAAAGGAACAATAAAAGGGGTGATGCTGCTCAAGATATATTGTATGTATGTACTGAAATGTCATGATGAATCTTCCTTGTGCAACTAATGTATGCTAATAAAAATCTTAATAAGAATGCTTACTGACATATGAATGAAAGAAACAAAGATTGAAGAGTACAACTTTAAAATACATAACCATAGTCACAAATACAAAAAAGAAAGAATATTTGCTCTTCAGGATGGAATATAAATGGACATGAATTGATAATATCAAGGCCAAATTTCAAATCGGTTTCCTCTCTAGAGTGGAATCAATCTTGCTAGAAATGCCTTGGGATATTGAGATATAGATACAGATATTGAGATATAGATATAGATATTGAGATATAGATAGGAGTAAGGACACCAATTTGAAAGGAACTATTAAGGCAAAGTTTACTTCTGCAGGAGGATCTTGTACTGACAAGCATTCAAATAGAACAAGCACCCTGGGCAGGTAGTAAGCTGACTCTCTCCCTCCACTGGGATTGGCTGGGCTCTGGTTCACAATCAGCTTGTGATTGGCTAAAATCTGATACCTGCTCAGAGGAGAATAACATTTACATTCTGGTGGGTAAATCTGGGGAAGTCTGAGACAGTTGTTCAGGCTTTACATCTTGGCAAGCCACAGTTGTGGGAAAATAGGGCTTATAAAGAAGAATCCAGAAGAACTACCTAGAGCTGAAAGTAGTTAAGATGGCCACATACTTTGATAGAAAAGACTGCATTGCTTACTACCTCACAGAACCACTGGCTTCTCCATCCTCATCGCTTTATCACTTGAGACTGCAAACCACAGCCCTGGGGCCCTGCACTGGGAAAAATGACTAATGTGATCACAGCTATCTCTGGTCCAAGAACTTCCTAAGGTACATGGTATGAGATCCAGGGAGCCAAAGTCTCTCTGTGAGATCATGGGCCCAGCTCACCAAGGTCTTGTAACATTTACAGTCAAGGGACACTGAAATGCTAGCTTCCAAAGCCAACCACCCCTCCAAAGTTTATTTGTTTTGAAGGTGAGACTTCTTTCTTTTTCCTTTTTTTTTCTTTTCAGAGTTAAAGCTTTTAAATATATGACGTCTTGCTTTCACATAGTTTCTATGGAAAGGGAGACAGTATATTTGAGGATGGAAAAAATAATTACTCTGCCAAACCGTCTTTCACTAATGCTCAACGACTGGGCAAATTCACCACATTTTCCACCTTCTCACATGTCTTAAAGGCTTGCCTCTGCCAATTTCACCACTGGTAGAATATTGGTTATGCACCATGAAAATGTCCATCTATAATGAGAAACTTAATAATAATAATAGTAATAATGATCGTGCTTGCCTAATTTACATTTTTTGCAGTTTACAAAGGATTTCCATTTCCCATGATTCCATTTGATTCTCACAAAACTGCCCTAAGGAAGCAAGAGGTCCTCATTTTATAGACAAAAAGCTCAATGTTTATAAATAGTTAGCAAAAGGTTAAATATTAAACTAGGGTTCCTTGATATTTTTTTATAGATTCTTTTCACTCTACATGGTGAGCATGTCATCTATGAGATTTGGTACTAGAAGGACTGTGATTTCTTAAAATGATATTTATTAGATTCAATCTGGTTTGTAGACAATCAGAAGAATTTTCACAACATAAGAGATTAATAATTTTAAAAGATGAAAAATTATCTTGCCTTTGATACATACTGACAAAAGCAATCTCTGGAAAAAGGAATATGAAACACTTTCATAATACTATTAAATTGAAGTCAAAGTGGTTGAATAATTAAGAAAAGGTGTTGAGTTTTAATCAAGCAAAATCAAAGTCCAGGACACAAATAAAGTGAAAAATATAAAATAGCAAAATACTAATCTTAGGTGAAAATTTGTGTAATAGGAAAACATTAAGACGTTATTTAGAGACTAATGAATAAAACAGAAAACTGGGTGCTTTGGCATAGAGCAATTAAATTAATGGGTATGAAATTCTGTCTTTTGCCTCCAGCACAAAGAATTGGCAGTGTTCTGATGAGGTGATATATACATAATACAACTTTAAAGTACATACAAGGCAAGCATAACATGACTTAAGACAAAAAGTCTGAACCAGAAGAACTATAAAAACACTGCTCTGCTCCACGTAGAGACCATGGGATGCATGACATAGTACTTGAAAAAGAGTTAAAAACACCACACTGCATATAAAAAATTTAAATTTTAAATCCTACATGCACATTAGAACAGTATGTCAGAGAAAGCAAAAACTGCAGGCACATCTAACCCTTCAAGTATATTCAATAAATTAAATCCTTTCCAAATCCTGAATACAACCTCTACATCACAGAACAGAGTTTTCTCTGTCATAATAAGATCCTTGTTCTGTTCCCAGAAGTTAACAAGTCCTACAACTTACAAAAAATTATTACGGATTAGAATTACCTTACACTCTCAAAGGTAGTTATTTTCAACTAATAGAATACTGTATCCTTTTCCTCTAAGAACTGAAGTATAAATCAATCTCAGATAGAAGAAGTGATATAATCCTTCTAGAGCCAATAGCAAAAGAATACATTGTCTAGGAGTACTTATTTTTATCCAATTGGCTTTCAAAAAACTGAAAAAGTATAACATAATGATTCTGATTTTGCTCTACTTCCCTAACCTAATTCAAGATGGTTTGCTTAAATATCACAGAAAACTGTGGCTTTTCCATTTAGCCAGGCCTTGTAGACTCTGCCCCAGATGCAGTGCTTCTCTAATAAGAAGGTCTGTAGTGAGAGGCTCCATTGTGGATCCAGAGGTTTACAGAGTTAATTACTAGACATTCTTAACCAATGATGTATTTGAAAGAACTTTATGACAACTACAAGATGCTAAACAAATATAAGTCAAACTCATATTAGCATAAAGCAGCCAGAACTTATAAACAAACTACATGTGCACATATTTGAATATATATATATATATATATAGTA